CACCATCTTCATGTTTTCCCTTTTGTGCATTCAGCTCACTACATGATCTCGCACACGCTTTCTTTCCGTCCAGCTGATTTGCTTTGGGGATTTTTTTACACGCCTTATCAGGCTTATGCGTGTTTTCCATCTTGATCTGCATTGACGATATTGACGCAAATGAACGCTCCAAGAGCGCAAACAAAGCTTCCAGAGCGTTCTCGTCTTCACGATTCGCACCATGACGGCATCTTCGAAACTTATCCAACCACGAAACGTAATCGGAGAGTTCAGATTCATGCTTGTATGCGCCTTGTAATATGCTTGACAATCGTACAGCTAAACATGAGTTTCGCATTGCACTCTTTTGCCCAGCAAATCCCTCTTTGAATGTATTGCGCAGCTTTTGAACTACATGCCTGCTGTTAACATCGGCACCGATACCTCCACTGACAAGAACAAGGCCAAGAATGAAAGACAAGAAATGCATGACTATGCTCCTACACGGCAGATCTGAATTCACAAAGCCGAAAATCTACTCGCAGGTCACTTTGAATTTTAAAAAATAGGCACCATGACCACTGGCTTAAACATGCAAGGTAAGAACTATGACACGCTTCAAAACCACGAACATCTACGCCATGTAACGTCGTTCATATAAAAAAGAAGTTTAAAATGCCTAGAAGCCTAAAAATATGAGTACCTGGCTTCGGATTTGCCTGTCGAAGACTATCTTTTGTGAATATGGACATCTGCTAGCAATTTGCGCAGCTGTTTTTACGAGGCAGAAGCATGTGAAATAATTGCAAGCCAACGTCATTTGGAGGAATCCGAAGCTCGGATAGAATTATAATGTAATAGACCGCGACCGGTTGAAATAATGATCAATACCTACAATTGCTAACAACTTACAAGCTACAAACTACAAACTAGCAATGCCTACAATTACTAACTAACAAATTACTGCTAAAAAAGTTACTCAGCCTTCACTTCATATCAGTTTCAGTGATGGACCCTGGCTAGTTGGCCCCTTAGGTCAGTTGAAGTGTCAACTTTTACATATCTTTCGAAATGACCCCATTATGTGTGTGTCGATACAGAACAATTAAGCAGACCCTGTGTTTACTTGCCGTTACTCCATTTGACATTATGTGACTGCTGGTGCTCCTCCCTAGCAAGACACACACTTCTACCATGTCAAGTTCAGCTCACGGTAGGTCGAGGGACGTTAACGTTATACCCTTCGCTCTCGTTGACATCATTAATAAGGTAGAAACGGGTTCTGTCGGTTCCGCAGTTCAGCATCCTTTTCGAATCGGACCGCGTGCCGTTTGCATAGTTAGCTCGAAAACCACTTTTTGCGAATTCAGTACCAGATGGCAGCAATGTATCATGTTATGGTGCCCATCAAGAAAATTACATGGTATGCTTAATTAGATTGAACGAAGCGGTCTGCTGATGCGCATGTTGCGAGTATAATTATTCCGGACATACGTTTAAGATTTTAAGTTTAAAATGCAAACAAGAACTTAAATTTTTTTCAAATTAACATTCAAGCATAAAACATGCGTTTAAACAATTCAACACCTGAGAATACTTTCCGACTTTTAAAATGTATTGCATTAGTAGCCGAGATTCCTGGAAAACTTCTGGGACAACGGAAATTGCTCCTGCTTACGCAAGTGAAGTGTCGATGGCATTACGGGTAAGCACGAGTGTCGCCTTGTATCCGTTTGAGAAGGCCCTGCAACCCCTCTCCCTGCCCCCAACGTTGAGTTGAGCCTCTTCAATGATGGCTTAGACTCCTCTCCGATATTTTTGGCAGCAGGCTAAAATGCTACAAAAGAGTAGGAAAATTTAACTATCAACCGAAGAATATCCGCTTTCATTCATTCTCGTAGTGGCGTTGCCATGGTGGATGCAGCAAGGTTACTTGAACCCGCAACCTCAAAATTATATTCTTAAAGGTGGGGGGGGGGGGGGGAAATGAGATATTATGGTTGAACCATTTCACGCCTGGAAAATTCTTCTTTTTTGTCTGTCAAACGTCCAGACGCTTTTTTCCTTCACCACACAAACATGATATTGACGCCACTGTTTTGCCCGCCTCGTGGACTCCTTTACGCTAAGCGACCTTTGGTTCTCTACGCATGGTATACCACGAGCCTAACGCTGTTTTACTTGAAGTTGAGACCAAAATCCATGGTGTGCAAGGTTTTGTAAAAATAAAATCGGGCAACATAAATTTATTTTGGGGCGTCTTCTTTAGTTCAGATTATAGGTCCAGTCCTACTACAAAATGAGAAACAATATGCGGACAAAAAAGAATTGGAATACATTTTTAGCCTTATTCCGCGCTGAACATCATGTATTGCTAGCACTCAGAACCCAGCATTCCATGATTGTAATGCACGCTTAACTGATTTATTTCACCTTGGTCTCACATGCAAAAAGCACGAAAGGGTATTTGTCATGAAAGGGTGTCACGTGACTGTAAGTCTGTCGGCTGTCATGTGACCAGATTAACGCCATCAAGCCAAACGCAAAATAGCTTCTCATACACGAACGCTTATCCTAGAAGGCGAACCTACAACGGCGCGTTACGCAACGTCACGAATCTTGTCAGAATAACCTCAGCGCTTTTCAGTATTTAGCCTTCCGCCACGAGACTGATTTGTCTGCGCGGCAATATACGCTCTTTTTGCGAGTACTTCACGCATTGGCGCCAATTGGTTCGGAGAAGGCTAACTGTCTATATATCAAAAGAATATCTTTCTATCGATGAGGGCCAATGTATGTTTGTTATATATAGCAGCGCAGCTGCCAACACTAAAACACCACTTCCCTGGAAAAAAACGCATTTCCCGTACGAGCGAGCTACCGATCCGTTTGATTTATTTGCCATACTTGACCTCCACGTTGTGTGAAAGGTTCAGGCAAGTTTCCGTCGTACCGATAGGTCAGTTGGCCCGAGTGCGTGGCGAGCTAGGTTTGAGTTGCTTTTTCCACTTGCTGTTTGCCTCTAGCTGGGATGTCGCGTGGTATGTTGCAGCAGCAGCGCCACGTTCAGATAATGTTAGAGGGCAGGACTGGGAGTGTCGAGCATTGTGGCTCGTAAAGTTTTCCCTGCAGACTTCTGCCGGCGACCCGGGTTTTCACGATCGGACGGTGGGGTAGCGCTCACACGAGCACTTTTTGGCTGGGACACTGATCTCTGAAATACATCTTTTCAAGGCTTTTGGAGAAAATGGTAAAAATGAGCAAAAAGTGGAACACATTCACGTCTGGAGGAAACTAAACATGGTCTAAAGAAATATTTTGATTAGTTTGCACACAAGCTTGCTGTTTTTGGTTGATAATTGCGAGACTTAAATGAGCGGAGTAGTGCGATAACCCGCAATAATTTTGTTAACAAGCGGGAGCAGTAGGATCGTGTAGTAGATATTGAGGCACCGTGATAGTATTTCGTAAAAGCCTTTCGCATACTCGCGCCCATATCCTTAATTTTCCAAAATTTTGAACAAACCCAGACGATTACCCGTTCTAAATGGATACCCACGAGCTTAGCAAACCCGTGAAGTTGTATTTTTTCGAGCCGCGGCTGGCGGTGGCCCGCGACTGTCGCGGTCGCACGCCCCTCCACACGGCTGTGCTCGATGAGCACGCCGACATCGTCCGCCTCATCGCCAGCAAGTACTCGCACACCGTCGACTTGGGCGACAATGTGAGTGGGCCGGCGCCGCCGGGGCCTCTCAACGGGGTTTTACCAGATATCCACAGTCTTTGGCTGGGCTTCATTGCTATTGAGTGGTTGCATTCTTTAAAACAGATCGCTAATGATTGCTATTGATAAAAGATTGCAAGAACGGCGCACTGTTGCAGCACCTCGTCGTGCGCATGGACGCAACGTTAATGCCATCTGCGGAAATCGCAGACTAATTCCTTTGTTTCCTCCCTAATCTCTTCCACTTGTTTTCCAGATTGGCAATAATCCCCTCTCCTCTGACACGTATCATTCGTCACAAAGTCAATATCCCGTCATAAAGCCGGCGCCTGCAGTGATGCTTCCGCTGCGGAGGGTTCCCCCGGGTAGGCTCGCCGCTTCCACTCAGCCGTGGCCAGCCGGCGCAAGGACCCCTCGCTGTCTACGCAGCGATAGCGGCACACCCGGGGGAGGCAGCTGTCTTGTAAAATCAAGCTGCTGCTCTCTGACGGCGTCAGTTGTCCCCTATGCTTGGAATAAAGATAGCTGATGTCCCCTCAGATGGAGCGGACACCAATACACTACGCCATGAGAATGAGTCAGGTGGAAACCATCGGCAAAATCGCGCCAAGTGAAACACCTGGTACGCCATGCTAGATGCTTTGAGATGTCGTGTGGACTAGACTTCGATTACGGAGATTCGTGGGATGAATTATGTCGAGTTGCATGAGTGGTGGGCGGTGCAGATGATTTCGAAAAAGTATACGTAGCCATCGCGATACCTATGCTTGAAGTACTTTATGTACATGCACACTGCGCTGTAGTCCATATGACAGCATGCGGAGAACTTCACACGCTTAACAGCAGGTTAGGGTAGCTTCTCATCAGGCTTCCATGACCTTTTCGTACTCTGATCTGCTTTCTACAGCTTATCTGTCAGACGTTATGCATCTGAACAAAATTATACATGATATAGACATCATAATTCAGCATCTGTCAGACAGCACATATCATCGTCGCAGCGTTTTTCGTCCATTCGCCATTATGCTAAAAGACAAACCAAAGGGGCCAAATAACGTAAGTCTCCATTCGCGAATGTCTTCTTGTGACTCGAATTATTCATATTCTAATATAAATGCCCGAGTTTGGCCAGAGTAGCATCCCAGCACAGGTATGGCGTCACCAACTCAGTTGGGAAGCAATGTGTCACCCAGAGGTTATTAAATAGCATTACGTGCCCCCACCGGTATACCCTCCCCCCCCCCGCCCCCACACTCCGTTAGTCTGTGTGATGGTGCCTGGGTTTACAGGGCGGTAACACACCCAGCTTCTTCTTGACGCACCCTGAGCTGCTGGAGGGCCTCGTGGAGGAGGAGCGGGAGGCCTTGGCGGCGCAGGGTCCGCTGCCCTCGCCACCCTCACAGCCCCAGCCGGCCTCAGCTTCATAGGCCGCTGACAGCTGTGAGTGTGAGAGCGAAGCTTATAATGTCTCCCGCTCTTCAGTGGCATACCAGAGGGGATATGTGGGGTCAGGTTTCCACCCATACCCTCTGGGAGTATCAGAAACCGCTGGGGCCAAAAGCCTCAGTGTTTTTTGGCAGTTGAACACGTCAATGGGTTTCTAAAACCCCCAAAAAGGGCCCCGAGAAATCAGAATTGGATTTTGGGCTTGAACAGGTCACCGCAATGAAAAGCGGTGTTCCTATAAAGACAACGTGGACCCCTTTAGCTGAAGGGGCCCCTATGCCGTCCTAGGCGAATGCCGTCCGGCGTGTCCTGGATGTGGGTGCGTCAAATAATCTGCGCTGTGCCCCGATCAATCAGCAATGAACACGTGAAAGTGACATCAGCTGGAACGCCGGTGCAAAAGTCTCTCGTCTCATGGTTTGCTGACTACAACACTGTGGGTCCTCCATCTAGATTTGACCTCTGAAGAGACCCACGGGAGCAGCATAAACAAACCAGGTTCTCGTAATGTATCGATGCTTGCTGCACAAAACACGCACAATCATAGCCATGCACAGCTGTGGTACGCATTATGTACGCGCGACTTGTGATGTTTCAGAGTGAAGAACCCCATCCGATCTGCTCCGGACAGACCTGCCGATGACGCTGGCGGATCCGCGGGAGCAAGCTGCTGAACTCTCAGCTGGCATTGATGGCGTCAAGCGTGCCCGAGTCCAGATGTGCTTCGCTTCACTCTGGCTCAGCGCCTCGTTGGATGTTTTCCGCGTCGCCCCGTCAGTGCCTGGTTCAGATGTTAGAGCTTATCGCAGGCCACGGCCCAGGTCCACTGCCCAGGCTCACGTCTTTTGCTGTATTGTTAACAGTCATTTTTCGCCGATCGGAATTACCATTTCCAAAGTTGACATAGTACATTTCTTTTGTGTTTGGTTTGTGATAGCATTTTGAGGCAGGAAACAAAGCTTTTAGCAACAGCCTTTTTATGTTACGATCATCCGTGACCATCACACATGTTCCAGTGTCCAGAGCGGGCGATTTTGGAACCGAGCGTCATTGGTGTCGGTGCCTTAAAGTCTCATAAAACGAATTCATTAAAACACCATACGTCTGATTTTGCACTTTACGGTTCTGTGAAAAACAACCGTATGTTTGCCCTGCAAGCTTGTCGACCACATGACCTGCTGAACTTTGTTTGAGTTGATTACTTCAGGTTCCAGTATTGCGGTGCTGCATAGGGACAACAATGGCCTAAGTAGGGTGTCTGCGTGCTGTACAGTTAACAATAAGAATTTAGCAAATGATGTTATTTGAGACGTTGTTATGGGTGTTCATGAGACGTCGGATCATGAAATGTTTAGCGCACGACTATTCAGCCAGTCATGCTTTATGAAACGAAGCACTCAGTAAGAAATGAATCCTTTGCTTGACCAGAATGTTCGATTTACATGTTTGTGTTTCCAATAACTGCGTAAAGCGGGAACGAACCGTTCGCGCTCAAGTCAATACTTTTTATGGAACTGAAGAAATACGCAATAAATGGCGAACAGACGAATCTGCATTTATTTTCCTCTTAAACGACGGAATACCTACGACGTAAACCAAATCTTCACACTGGACTAACGACCCAAAGCAGCGGCGGTATGATAAAACCCAAATATCTGCTACGCTTTTGATTCCCGTAAGTGTTTGATTACGGACGCTGGCGCGGACCTGGGCGACATTTTCCCATGGGCAACATGCGCTGACCTGCGGCCACGCACCTCTACATGCAATGTCTCAATCCATGCTGCAGGCCTCTGGAGTCCTGACGCCAAGTAACCATCCTTTTTGTGACGTCACTGCTCCGGCTTGGCCCGGCCCCACCAGCAATGCTTTCGACGGGGTTGTACTTTTGTAACCGCCAACTACACCATCATTGAATTTTCAGACACTATAGGCGAGCATCTCAAATGCGGACCGTTTGATTAGACAGCAGTTTATTTTTGCAGTGTTTGTCGAAATGACCACTCCTTCACCCCCCCCCCTTCCCCCCCCCCAGTCGATTCATAGGTAACATAGACGCAACAGACAAAAAAGACAGTCGTACGGATCTCCTCCTACCGAAACTTTTCCAAACTCAATAAAAGCAATTGGTGGCATCTATCATGCAGGCGCGACAAAACAAACTCCTACAGTTTTGTAGCGTCTCTGTTCACATGTATTCAGTACCCACAGAGCTTACATTTGCAGTGCTTATAGAGCTTTCAGGTCTTATATACCTTAACATGATTCCAGATGAATGACCCTCGGATGAAGTGATCCTCAAAGTTCACCTTGCTCCCACAGCACCGATGTTGACAATAATGGGCAGCCGGCATTCAACGTCCTCGACCGATGCACGATGCTAATTGCCAGGCCTAGCATTCTTCTAGAATGTTGTTGAACCAAAGGCATGAGCTGAGCGAATGTCTATACAAGGTCTTGTTTCACATAGCAATGTTATTTTTAGTGGGATACATATAGTGTACATATTGCGTGGTTATGGGAATGCGTGAAACAAGATTTGTGGCTCGTCATCTGCGTTGTTTATTTGCTCATCATAATTCATCTCATTGATTACATTTTCAGATCCTAGGCAAGCTCAGAGGTGGTTAAAGGCTTGGCCAACTTTTTGGCTTTTCATTTATTGTTACATCAGACGCATACGATTTTGAGCAGGGGTGAGTTTCTCGAAATCCGTCCGAACAGCTCAGAATTTGGGTTAGAAGTAGCCGAACCAGCGGGAAAAATATCATTTGACTCCCCGCTCACCACTATGAAGACAGTACATTTCACTTGCATTGTTTTTCCAACGTGTGTGCTCTGCAATGTTTGCAACACACTAGTGCGTTAAAATGTTCGTGTGATAAAGACTATGAAAACTTGAAACACTTCCTTGAGGTAAAAAGACATGCGAACATGAAACTATTATCACACAAATTCAACGAAATGTAATAACATGGTTTTCATTTCTCTCCTGTGTTTACCATATGCATATGTGTTTACCATATGTATAAAGTATGGTTGAGGTATGCATTGTATAAAGTATGCATTGGAGCATATTTACTATACAGAGAATTGTGCTGTTTAGTGCAGTCTTTTACACTTAAAAAGTATACCAATAGTTATAAGTGAGCTTGTTTCATCATACCTGTTGCTTGCTTTAACATCTTCAACCGTGAAACATTCCCTTTAATATGTCAATCACAGATCCCTATGCAGAGCGCGGACACAGAGCATCAGTACACCTCCACCAGGCGGAGGTCATGAAAGTAGCATGTGCCCATGTTTCGGTTAGCTAATGTTTCGGTAACATCTGCATGGAGGTAATCATCTCTGTCATCACTTATTTCGTGCCGTGCCGCCAAAGGCGTGTTGCTGATCTGGCACGTGAAATCTACCCCGGCTGACGGTCGACTGCTGCAACCATCGTCATACCATGATAGGAAATCTTTCCTTCCAAATCTTTCTTCGGCTGCGTCGTACATGTACGCACCAGACGCTGGATAAAAAATGCGTGTGTTTTATATGCCATTGGCATTGTATGTTGTGAACATCATCAGCACAAGCAAACTTATGTCGATGTTGGCACGAGCAAAGAAATTCTTACGAATAATAAGCACAATCAAGGCAAACTCACACTATAAAAACGTATCGTTCTGGTCCACTCGTATTGCGTCACCGCATCGAGGCCTAGCTGCTCCTCACAACAAATGCCTTCACAGCAAACATGAAAACGTATTTCTGTGTTTGGAAGACCGCGGAACGGGTGCACGACGCATCGCGTTATCTACTCCGCTACCGCCGTTCAGATTTGAGCGGGGCGAAGCTACAATGTAACACCCGCAATCGTCAGCAAGCAGTAGCACGGAGGGCAGAGCACGCGCAGCTGACTGACGGACACTCGGAGCCGCAAGGAGTAGGGAGAGACGTCAACCCGGGCAGGGGTGGGTAGGCGGGCAGCGGCCGGCAGCTCAGGTAGAGCGCAGCTGACCGAAGGGCATCCCGGCCGGGCAGGGGTAGCGGGGGTGGGCAGCGGCCGGCAGCTCAGATGGAGCGCAGCTGACTGAAGGGCACCCCGGCCGGGCAGGGGTAGCAGGGGGTGGGCAGCGGCCGGCAGCTCAGGTGCTGCTCGCCGCCCTCCTGCTGTCCGCTGAGCAGCTCCCCCATGAAGGCGATGTACGTGATGGCCAGCCGGAGCGTCTCGATGCGCGACAGCCGCTTCTCGTAGGCGAACGTCGGCACCTGGCGAGCGCAGCACCGTCACCCCTGAAGCACCCCGGCGCACGCCCCCCGCCTCCCAATGTGTCACATTCGGGCGTGAACAGTGAGTTAAGTGCGCGGCTGGACAGGGACGAAGCTAAGATGTTTACACTTGATAATGGACAAACCCGCAGAAATTCAGTCCAGATTCGCATTAGTTGGGACAAAATTTGACAGTGCTCCCCCGTCTCACCGAGGGAAGTCCTGGTCATGCGTATGAAAGTGGACAAGATGATTTGCCAACCCAGGTACAGTGCGCCCATAGGGCCGTACGCGGCCTGCAATGCCCCACCTTGCGGCGCAGTCGGTCGAACGCCTCGTTCAGGCTGAGCATGCGCCTCCTCTCTCGGATGTTGGCGGCGCGCCGCTGCGCCATCGACGCCACCCTGCGCCGCATCTTCTTGGTGGGCGGCGGCTGCAGCGAACCGGGCCTGGGCACAGCGCTGCCCGTCGACACGGCGTAAACAGCGCGGTGGACGTCAGCACGGGTCGCGTGCGGTGTCAACAGTCTCAGCGGCACGGCAGCATCGGCGCGATGTCAGTAGCCTGGGCAGTATGCTATGCATGCTATGCCATGCAGCCGCGATTGCTCGCACTGCGATACTGACACACTGCGAGCAATCGCGGCATCGTAGTGCGAGCAATCGTAGTGCGAGCAATCGCGATCGCTCGCACTGCGATATTGACCCATTGCGAGCAATCGCGGCATCCTGACAGCGTTTGCACGGCGCTGGTGGCCTCAGCGACACAACGAAGTGACGAACAACCCAGCAGCGAAGCGCCGTGGAAGCTCAAAACCCGACAGCGGGCTGGTGTTATAGTTGGCCGTCAGGATCGCTTCGTTATAGAAGCATGGTTTACATTATCACTGCCTTAGTAATGGCATAAACGTGCTCCCTTCTGAGGTCGTAGAATCGTTGCCTGGAACAATAATATTATTGCAGCCAAATGTCAAATTTGTATCGTTTCAGCTTGCTACGCCTTTCACTAAGGCGGCAAGACTGGTAGCAGGTATTAATATTCATGCAGTTCCTACGTGGGTCTGAGCCAATCTTGACACGCGCTCGGACGGGGGTTGAAATTGACTCTCCCCCCCCCCCTTGGGGTTTTCCGGAATGGTCTCCGAACGTTGCGGAGTAGCCGCGCCAAATTTTGCATGGCTGTAGACAATTAAATAGCGGATCTTGCGGCATCGAAAAACGAAATGTACCTTGTAAGGTCGCTGACCTACGGTAGGTCAAAATCAGGCCATGGATTGGGCAAATTCAATTTCTTGTGAATCGCTCAATCTGATGGAACAGCGGAGTGTTGCACGAAGCCATACATCTCTGATATATTTTCTTGGGCAACACAATTGAATGACCAAATTCCAATGACTTAAGGCCAGCTATGAAAGTCAGACCAGGTCAAAACCAACCTGTTTTATTATTCTACGGCTTGGCTTCATGGGGTAGTTTCTGGTGCCCGTTTCAAATTGATTGATAACGAAAACCGCATAAAAAACCTTCTATGGACTTGTTAAAGGTCAGAATAGGCCACTGAACTAACGTGACCAAGGTCAATATTTCGTTTTTAGGAACATACTGGTTAGCGTAATCTTTGTTGCTTATTCAAATGCAAAACTCAAAGCAGTCTTCTATGATTCTGGTCACCATGACCTCCCAAAGGTCAAAGAAGGTCAGTGATCTTAAATGAGCATGTGACCTTTTGCTCAGAACAGGTATCTAGGTTCTGGAGACACTTTGGAGACCGGCTTGGAGTTTGACCTTGTTTGACCTGATTTGACCCGAATTTCATGCCCTAGGAACCTCCAAATTTGATTAAAGTAGGTTCACATACAGGTCAACACACCCTGTGAATGTGGTGCCTCTAACCCTCTTAGTTCCGGAGATCTCAGAAGGGTCAAATTGACCCCCACCAGAGCGATGGGTATCCAACCGGCCACACGGGCGCGTGTTATGAAGTTAATTGCTGACGTGCTATGTGGCTTATGAGTCCCGCAAGCCATCACTTCCCCACCTCTAACTTTTAGTTAAGTTATCAGAAGTCAGACGGGGGAATTTTACGACGCGCTCTTTTAATCAAATTTTACAGAAGCAACGAATGCAAAATGGCTCACAGGCTCGGTTCATGAATTTCGTGGGGTATGTTCAAGATTAAAGAGATCAAATAACACCCATTGCAATGGGTGTTATTTGACACCATCACCATCAGAAAAGCAGCATGTTTGCTGTACTTACTAGTTCTGAGTAGTCATGCACAGCGGATAGTGAGTCCACAGCAAGACGTACGTCGAAATGGCACGGAAAGACGGACTGCGGACCATCACGAATGGCACGGAAAGACACAGCAGACCATCACGGATAGCACGGAAAGACGCGCAGCGTACCATCACGAATGGCACGGAAAGACGCACAGCAGACCATCACGAATGGCAACACGCATGCAGTCTCCTCCAATGGAGGAGCGCATCATCTTGGCACCGCCACTCCCCATGGAAGAAAGTTTCACTTTCCGTAGTGAAAGCTGCACGCATCACAACTTGTATGAACGTATGCATTGGGATAGATCTCCAAGATCATTTCAAAAGGACTTGGCATTGAGTGAAATTTCGCTTCACAATGCTTCACTTACGCTTTCCGAGTGGTTTAAAACCCGCGCATCATCGATGATAAAATGCACAAGTTCATGTATAAATACATGTTTTACTAAGTGAGATCGTAATCGCGCTGAGAATAAAATATTTGTAGCCTTCTTACTTGAAACCTGATCAACGCTCAACGATGGAAAGCTGATGAGCAAAAATGGAAGATTACCTACCTGTAACAAAAGGGAAACAACTCTGACCTTCTGATACGGAACTATGAGAAAGACTGTCACGGCACATCTCCAAAGTATACAGTATAATTACTATATTGTGGCAGAATATGGTTATTCGCAACATCTCGACACGGTACAGGTAACTAACGTGCAGCAAACAAAATCATAATATATATATATATATATATATATATATATATATATATATATATATATATATATATATGCCATCTCGTCATAAACAGTCACAAGAAGACATAAGGCAATGCATCAAAAGGATAGCCTAAAAAGCGCAACATGATTGTTGCAGCCCCAGTGACTTTCCTAAGCATCACTCGTGCCTGATATGATGGGTTAAGAGCACGGAATACCGGACTTGACAGCTGACATCCGAACTTCAATAATTCCAAGAAATTGCCGCGCTACATTTACCAAAACATGTGACGAAATTGTCAGCTTTCTACCTCCCGAGTTCCACACCGGGTACCAAATATCCTCATTTTGATAATAACTCCTGTATGCTGTCAGCCTAGGCTTCAAAAGCATGCACATCTCACATAGTGTGCTTGCATGTCCCTCAGTTTGTATAACTTTAATTAAGTTATGAAGACATTCGTTTATTAACACGCGCTCGGATGGGGGTCAAATTGATCCCCCAAAGGTTTTTCCAGAATTATTTCCGAAAGGCGCGGCGAAGCCGCGCCAAATTTTGCATAGCTGTAGACAGTCGAATAGCAATTGTTTGGCATCAAAAATTTGGATGGAACTGGTAAAGTTGATGACCTATACCAGGTCAAAGTCAGGTCATGGTTTCAGCGACGGCCATTTCTAGGGAACTTTTCGACCTGATCCAACAACAGAGTGTTAAAGGAAGCGATACATCTCTGAGATGTTTGCTTAGGCAACACAACAGTGGAATGAGCAAATTACATTGACCAAAGGTCAGGCATGAAGGTCACACCAAGGTCAAAACCAACCTTTTTGTTACTCTAGGGATTGCTGTATGGAATAGTTTCTGCTGCTCATTTCGAATTTATTGATGGCAGGAACCGTATCATACATCTCACATGGATTTCTCAGAGGTCAGAATAGGTCGTTGAACTAAAATGACCCAGGTCAACATTTTGTTTTAGGAGCATACTGCATAGAGTATCCTTTGTCACTTATTCAAATGCAAAACTCAAAGCAATCTTGTATGATTTTAGTTACCTTGGCCTTCAAAAGATCAATCAAGGTTGCTGACCTTGAATGAGCATGTGACGTTTTGCTTAGAAACGGTTATCTAGGTTCTGGAGGCACGTTGAAGACCAACCTGGAACATGACCTTGTTTGACCTTGTTTGACACAAGGGTCATAGTTTAGGAACTTGAAAATTTTACCTAAAGGAGTTCACGTAGAGGTCAATACACCCTGTGAATTTGGTGGCTCTAGGTTTCTTAATTCCCGAGATCTCAAGGGGGGGGGGTCAAATTGACCCCCCACCGAGCGAAGGGTGTCAAGCCGGCCACCCGGGCGCGTGTTAAGACATCCGCTCTACCAAAATATACGTTCATAGCTGAGCAGGCGAAGGTGAAGAAGAAAACGCAATCCAAGCCCTGTTGTTACGGAATCGGCAAGCAGGAAGTATACCAAGCTGCCACACTCACCTCACCTCCAGTAACAAAAACAAATTACCTGGACAAGCAACCTATGAGCAAGGGCAATGAATTTGCTACCGTAGCATTTTCCTGACTTTTGCCTTGACCTCTCGAGCGTTCGGCGAGCTAAGTCCATGTATGCGCACTGCATATGCATGAACCAAGCCTGCGAACTTGGCGTCACACATGGGCACACTTGACGTCATATATTTTCCATTATGTAAGCTACGGGCATGATTTATTTTAGGTGTAAATAAGGAGAACAAGCTTTGCGGCGACTCACACCTTGCCTATAAAGCTCATTTGCAGGCTGTAATGTGTGTCTTACAAATTGGATCAGGATTTGGGCACGAATTTGATCTGACATACCAGTTTGCTCACAGCTGTGACCACGAATCGAAACGCATTGTTAAAAACGGAGACGACCTGCGCGGCCTCACCTGTGCTGGATCATGCAGGAGGCGAGGCGAGGCTGGGCGCTCCAGAGATCATGGAGCCCGATCAGGTCGGGCTGGTCCCAGCCGTAGCCACCGTAGAAGCCGTACTCGGTGTTGGTGAGGTCCCACAGCTGGCTGCACTCGCTCGGGTACGCCTGGATGCGGCCGTATACCATCGGCGGACCCATTGGGCCCCGTCGCCCCCGTTCCGAACCGCTCACCGCCGCGGGCGGCCCGCGAGGGCGCCGGGTCGCGGGGCTCTGCGGCGCCGCCAGAGAGCGAAGGTCGTCCGCCGACCGTACGCGGTCCGCGGCTGTGGCGGCGTGTGCTGCGCGGATTACTGTTACAGGAGAGGGCCCGTGATTTGCGCCGCCTCCCCTCCTCCTACCCTCCAATCTCGACGGCCTCTCAGCCCCGTCTGTATCGTTCCGAAAGCTGACATTTCCGCCAGATTTAATATCAACTTATTAAATGTTCATCAGAACTGCCTGGGCCACTTTATTAGCTACATAAAGCCGGCGCCATATTGTTCGCCGTGCCAGCCACTGGCGGCACCCCATTTTTGGCGGCACTTAATATTCGCGCCGCTAATCGCATTGTTTGCGGAAGGGGTTGCTTCCATTGTTCGGTTAGCACGCGTTTCAGTGTTTTGGATACGCTTGTTTTGCACGGATGGGATTGGCAATTACTGCCAGCTGAAGTATATGCCCACGAAAAAGGAGCAGGCCGTTGGACAGGCGGTGCGGACCCGGGATATTAGTTTTGTGGTGATACATGGGACTCGAGCAGATGGCTGCCGTGCGCGGAATTCGCGCGACGTGCGAGAAGAAATCCGAAAACCCTAGGACGTTCGGATGCAGCCGAGCGAGACCCCAGCATTAGGCGGGGGGGGGGGGGGGAGTTCAAAACAAAGGCTGAATGGAAACAATGGATCATCGATCACCCCGACAACGTTGACCGCCCGTTTTTACCGCTTTGCTGAGCCAGGGGTGGCCCCCGGATATTCTGTTGAGGAGGTGGCAGAACCTTCCAGGGGCGTCCCGGACAAAATGGCACCTCAGCGCAAGGGTCTTCTGGAAGGCGTCTTTTCCAAGACCGGTGGAACACGTTCCCCTGGTTAAATTGTTATTATGTGCTCCATTGTTCGTTCGATTAAATGCCGACATTAAGAAATCTCGAGTAGGGGTCTTCCGATTAATACATGGGATTCCCGATCCAGCCAAAGGCCTTCATATCTCAGGGCAGAGTCTTCTGTTCCATAAAAGGATGTCACGACATTAGTGCTACGGCAAAACTGCTACCAACAAGAGTGCTACGATATCATTACGATACGACTACGGATACGATTAAACGCGACATTTCTTCTATTGCAAAAATTTAAACGCGCTGTACTTTACTTGTACGCAACTTTACTTCCACTGTAAATACTTATAAGCGTCATGAGTGCTGCGCGACAAAATGCAAACTTCAAAAACTCACCATTATACATGCTGCAAAAACTTATGCAGTTTTTACTTATACGAGGCATGACTTCTACTGCTAGCACAGATACCAGCCATTACTTGTACAGTAGACCTACACAGTCTTTACATATACGCGACATTACTTTTACTTAGGGGTGTCAGCATGGGGAGCGGGGGCTTCAACCTCTTCCCACTCTGAGAAGAAAATGTGCGAAGTCCGGGAAAAACCTGTTTGTCGGCACATTTTGAGGGCTGGTTTGGACATTTTTCACTGTTCGAACCCTCCCCCCCTCTCCGCCCAACTCATGTTGCAAAACTACGCCTCTGCTCCCACTGGAATGAGTTGTATCTGACATAAGTGCGACAAAACTTAAACGAAATAAATGCCTACATTTGAAAAGCTTATCCCTATTAGTATGTACAACGTAAGGGCCTTAGTAGACATTTGTGCAATACTACACAGGTTGTGCTCCACAGAAGATTGCCGTCAGCACTCCAACTCATAGGTTAACCTCGCCAAAATCCTGCAGAGGAAACAAACACATGGAGACAATTGGCTGGGCGAAATCAGACTGCGGGTGCGCGTCTGACTTCGCCCGGCCAAATGATGCTGCCCACACCCCATCGCTGCTGTAAATATTGCGATTGACAGACGCACGACAATAGTTCTACGTGACATCCTATCACCCTCCTATGACCCTCCCCCCCCCCCCTCCCTATTTATCGACGCCCTCTTCGACAGAGGAAGTGTGGATTGAGTCCCTGGCTGAAAACGAAACTACACCCCTGGTCTGATGTACATTACAATGACTTTATAAGGCTCTAGTGCCACAGGACAAAACTAATACATGAAACAGTTAAAACCGTCATGAAAATTTGCTTTCTTTTCTGACCATATGGATACGCCAAGCACCACATATCGACAAAACAACATCATATAATAAATACCTAACTTTTCGTATCAGCACCAGGTACATTCAATCGCAGTTCTACCCAAGTAGGGTTCCCTCCTAGCCTGTGAACTGTTCTTTCACCCCGGCCAGATGTGCACCCATTTGACCGTCCATGACAAGTATTAGCAGTAGAGATAATGTTACGCATACGTAAAGCCTGTACAACTTTTAGGAGTAAAAATGATGACAGTAAGACGGTTTGAAAGTATAACTTTTGGCGTGTAACATTCATGCCGCGTAAAACTCCTTGCAGTAGAAGCAATGCCGTGTATAAGCAGTGGCTGTAAAAGTTTTTGCAATGCAGGTAATGACAAGTAAAGGTTTTTGAAGCGTAAATTTTGTCGCGTAGCACTAATGTCACGTATGTTTTCGGAACCAGTGATGTTGTGTGTAAGTAACGGTATTTGCAATAGAAGTAATGCCATAACATTTTTGTCGGTAGAAGTTTGTGTTGTAGCAGTTTGTCACAGAACCCCATAAAAGGGGCTTCTGATGCATAGAGGAGCCTTCTTATCCAGAACAGGATCCTTCTGATTGACAGAGGCGACCCCAAATCCAGAACGGGGATTTTCCGATTGATAGAAGGGAGCTCTGAATCTAGCACAGGTTTCATCATCCCAAAACAGGCCGTCCTGATCGGGAGTAACCGCCCTGTGACACATGCGATGCGGTCTCCTGGTTTAGTGGGATCCTCCTGGTTTAGAATTGAAGTCTCCTGGTCTGGAAAAGAACCTCATTCAATAAAGAAGATGCCTCCTAATCCAGAGCAGCAAACCTTCAGCTGGTTGCGGAGACATCCTGAACCAGCGAGGGGTCTCCTTAACACAAAATAGGGCCTCTTGGTCCAGAATGCGGGTCTCTTGATGCAGAAAAGTGCCTTCTGGTCCCGATTCGGTACTTTCTAGCCCAGACAAGGAGACTCCTTGACCTGAATTTTGGTAAATTGTTGTGACTTTAGAACCATCAGCTCAGAAAGGAACCCTCCCAAAATTCTGAGGGGACAAAATATCATTTTGCTCCCTTTTCTCCCTGCCGCGCCACCACTGGCGTGAAGGTGGCTGATGGGTACCATGCGGGTTGCGGCTCGCGACCACGCAAATACAGGTGCACGACACTCTTCAGCTGGCAGCAGTTGTGCCAGCCACGCTATTTAACGCGCCCTCGGTCATGAGCGTGTGGTGGTTTGTCATAGTGCTCCTGGTTGGGCTCATCGATTATGCCTCCAATTCGGCATCGGCTTTGATGAGCGTCACCAGAATCCCGTTACGACTTTAAGATGATAACGACGGTTACCTGAATCCCGTTACGACTTTAAGATGATAACGACGGTTACCTGAATCCCGTTACGACTTTAAGATGATAACGACGGTTACCTGAATCCCGTTACGACTTTAAGATGATAACGACGGTTACCTGAATCCCGTACGACTTTAAGATGACAACGACGGTTACCTGAATACCGTTACGACTTTAAGATAGTAACGACGGTTACCTGAATCCCGTTACGACTTTAAGATGATAACGACGGTTACCTGAATACCGTTACGACTTTAAGATGATAACGACGGTTACCTGAATCCCGTTACAACTTTAAGATGATAACGACGGTTACCTGAATACCGTTACGACTTTAAGGTGATGACAACGAATCACGCCGGCCGAATTCAGATGCCTCGACAGCCCTTCAACTCGCTGCCTCGCATACGTACCGTTATCGCCAACATTTCATGGACATTTTCCGCCTCCGTTAACGATGCACCTGCAAATAAAACGGCATTACTTGCAGCAGAAGGCGTGGGTGAGGCATTAACTGCTGGAAACTGGCACAAGGAGAAACTGGGGCAAATCAACGTGGGGTGCGAGCAGGGCCCTCACAAAATGATACAAGTCGACATCTTACGTGTGGCTAACTAACTGAGAAGTCACTACGTCTGACTTGTAGTATACCATATTACTTCTGCATGGATGGCTACTCGTTTCTCCGGGTTTAAAAGCGTGCGCAAGCATTGTGCTTTCTACTACACAACCCCGCGCCAGCCGCAGTAAAAGTAACCAAACTGGAGATGCCTTTCACATGCAACGACACACTGTAGCTTACCTTTTTCTGCATTCTGGGTCCCAGTGACCTTCAGACAAATGGCTTTGATGTCACTGGGTCGATGCGCGCGACAAAGTGGTGACGTCACATCAGCATGCATAGTAAAAACACTCAGTGGGCAGAAACGGCACTGACGCAAAACACCATTACAAGCTCTTGCAAGCAGCGCTTGTCAGCAGACGAGCCCTCGAGTTGAGGTTTGGCGAGCCAATGAGCGATTACGTTTAGTAATACACTGTCGTTTTTAGCAGACATCGTCCGCAGTTAAAATATGCGGTTTATATACGGCGGTAAATGTGGGCGGTTTGCCTGATGAATGATACGATGCATGGTTATGTGTTTATACATACACCATCATGTAACAGCATGATTTCGTCAAGGCTATGCCATTTAAGTGGGAACTGGATAAAATAGCGTGTTCTCGTAAAAAACGTGCTTCCCTGAAACGATTCTAACAGCGAGATTGACGTCTTTATCGATAAGCCTTCGCAAATTTCGCTCCATTTTTGTGTCACCCAATGTCTAGTTGTCCGCACTAACAAACTAATGCTTATTTGAATGTCATCAGATATACCAAACCTATCAAAACACAACAGGTCATTCCACTGATCTTCCTCATATTTAAAGATTGGTTAAGTCAAAAACATCGCCACATAGACACCTCAAACTTTATGTAATTGTATCCATGGAATACTTTCTCTGGTATCGCAGATATCTATGTGAATAAAACACTGGTCTCTGGCATCACTGACAACATCTATGAGATGTGGGGCCCCAGTCAAAGGAGTGTGGTTCCTTTCTGGTTGGGGCGAGGCTCCAACTCCAACTTTGAGATGAAAATTTTAATCCAGGGATAAACCCGTGTTTTAAAAACATTGCGTGAACAACTTAAGTCATTTTTCCTCTTGCCCCAAAACTTATTCTGCTAAACTACATCCCTGTACATTTACATCTCCCCCCCCCCCCAACGGGCCCGCGCCATTTCAATGGTAACATCACATCAAAACACTCGTCTGAAGGAAACAGTGCTGGGACGCGCTCGCATCGGGATGCACTTGACCCTTGCCACTTGGACATGGGACGAGTGCCGCGCACACCGGGGCCCCGCTCCGCCGTGTTTCACACTTCTTCATGTCGTCTTTTGTCTTGTCCAGCCAATCGCATACCTCGTCACCCATCCTCTTGATTCAGTACGTTACCGCAGATCAATTTTTGGGTCTTATGGAACTTGGGTGTTCATGTCTTGCCAGGTCAATGTCTTAGAAAGGTTTTAATCTGGTCATGCTGGAGTGAAACGCGGCTTATTCGTCAACGATACGTTTCGCTGTTGTTACGCTTTTGTGTGGTTAACTTTTCTGTGCAAAACTGTCACTTACCGATCATCAACTTACAGTGTAGGCCCCTGACCAAAGATTGTCTTTACTGCCAATCTTAAGTGGTATGCTCTTAAGCTGCGTTTTGTGTGCATTCGAACTATCTTGGACCTGGCAGTGTTGCCATTTTGCCCACAGGTGACACTTACTCGAAGGCTTGTCATAGGTCACTTACCCAGGCTGATCTCCACCTTGGAATTTTCATAGCATGCGCCTTTCTAAAGCATTCTGTCCGTTTTAATTCATTTTTAGACTTGATAGCGTCGTTTCGTCATATACACGTGACTTTGGCACGACAGACCATCATAGTAGACTTACCTTCCCTAACCTTGAGACGCAGCCGACTTCACAACTGGTCGATCAGTTGCTGACGGTGCTGGAACCCACATGCAATTCTTTATTACGCACATGTCCCCTACTTCTGTTTTCCGCGACCTTCAACTTAATGCTCTACGTGTTCCATTTATCTCATCCTACAGATTATGCCGTTAAACTTACCATAAAACTTACCATAAACATACAGCTGACAGTCTGAGCAAAAGACAAAAGCGTGAAACAACATTTAGTGTCACCAAAGCTATAGACATATATGAAGAAACCCATCCGGCGCTTATTCCGAAATTTAAGGGGAAAATCGGGTCCATTTTGTCTCTCATGCACCATCATAGACCTAATGCAACATATATCCAAAGGTTGGAGGAATCTGGCCTCCAAGACAACAAGCATGTGAGCAGGAGGACGGGGAGACTCCAACTATTCGTGGAGGTGTAACATTAATTATAAGACAATAAGTGTGAAGAATTCACGAGCATCTGTGTAACATCCTTAAGGCCTGCCCAACCACCCCGGTGCCCACGCCTATGTGTACAGAGCGCCGGCGCTGGGTGGGAGTAGCCCGAGTTCAGCAGACCGCCTCTACATCAAATTCTACATTCAGAAACTAAAATGCCTAACCACCGACATGTGGATAGCCTACAGTCCAAAATGGGCGGATACTGACTGGCCCAATGCACGTGGTATTTCATTTTTATAAATCAAAACACAACCGCAAGGCCCTATAGCAACTTAACCGTCAGCTCCGTGCTATGAATTAACTGAATGGTATAACAACAGTAGATTTTGTTTTATCTCTGCACTGAATCTTAACCATGACTTGATAAGGCAGTGACGTGAATGGGCCGGGCATGGTTGTTCCTCGGTGAACATTTTGAACATTAACTACCAGCCCCAAAATAACGCATACAAATGATTCGTCACAGAGACTAATGGAAAGAACGTTTTTAGATCAAATACTACTACACAAGATTTAGCTTTGTCTTTGCAATGGCCGGTGCGGACGTCGAATCCGGGAATGATGGAAGTGTTCAACCCGAGGCAGACGCAACCAGCAGGCCCGCGGCGTCTACCGACGACAGCACCCAAGGAGAGGCACAAACAGATCCTGCAGCCAAGCTGCCCGAAGAGAAGTATTCAACGACTGCCTCTAGCGACGATACCGCTCAGGCCCAACCATCAACGAAGTCCTCAACAACACTGCCCGTGGAGAAGGCCTCCATGTCTTCCCCCAGCGATGGTGCCCCCCAGAAGCAACCATCAGTAACATTTTCAACCAAATTGCCTGTGGAGAAGGCCTCCACATCTTCCTCTAGCGACGATCCCCCTCAGAAACAGTCACCAGTAACATCTTCAACTAAATTGCCCGTGGAAAAGGCCTCCACCGCTTCTTCTAGCGACGATGCCTCTCAGAAACAGCCATCAGTAACATCTTCAACTAAATTGCCCGTGGAAAAGGCCTCCACCTCTTCTTCTAGCGACGATGCCCCTCAGAAACAGCCATCAGTAACATCTTCAACTAAATTGCCGGTGGAAAAGGCCTCCACCTCTTCTTCTAGCGACGGTGCCCCTCAGAAACAGCCATCAGTAACATCTTCAACCAAATTGCCGGTGGAGAAGGCTTCCGCGTCTTCCTCTGGCGACGATGCCGTTCAGGCCGAACCATCAGCGAGGTCTTCAACAAAATCGCCCGCGGAAAAGGCTTCCACCTCTGCCTCAAGCGAAGATGCCCCCCAGCAGCAGCCAGCAGTAAAGTCTTCAACCAAACTGCCCGTGGAAAAAGCTTCTGCCTCCGCGTCAAGCGACGACGCCCCTCAGAAGCAAACATCAGTGATATCCTCAGCCGAGGTGCCCGTGGGGGAGGCTCCTGCTTCTGCATCCAGCGACAATGTCCCTCAAGCGCAACCATCAGTGAAATCTTCAACCGAGCTTCCCGCGGAGGGCTCCATGCATGCCTCTGACGGTAATATCCTTCAGGAGCAATCACCCGCGAAGTCGTCAACCGATCCGCCCGTGGAGACGAAGTCTTCCACGTCTGCCCATGCCGACGACGGCCCTCAGGTGCAGCAATCGGCAACGTCTTCCCCAAAGCGGTCGTTGGAAAAGGTTTCCACGTCTCAGACGGGTGAGAGCCCCAAGCACAGCAGGACGGACAACTCCAGCCTGACTGCACGTCTGTATAAGGAACAAATCAATACGGGCAAACTAAACCGACTCACCAGCGTGGTGGCAGATCCGGACGGCAGGCAAAATCTGGTTCATCCTGGGTCCGTTCCGCATTGGCACACCGTCGACATCAGTCTGGCTGGCAAGGTACGTGGGTCGTGACGTACAGATGTGCGAGCCCGAGACCTAACAATTCAATTTCGCGGGGCGGGCGACCCTGTATGACCTGCTCCGCAGCCCTTTCTGGCTACATGCTGTTTCACATGCCTGGCTGACGCGGACGAGGACGAGGTGCATGGTTTTCCCGGGCCTAGTATCCTCTATCAGAGATTGCTCTGACCGTGGGATATCCCGACGTGCTGAGGCGTCACCTGCCGACGGCCGCGCCTCACAGCGGAAGTGCTCGGTCGCAGCGCCCCATGTCCTGTGAGAAGCGCCGTACGGGGGCGCACGACTGCTTCGCTGCACCCGCCGCACGGCGGAACCGAGCGCTCGCGGCCAGGGGACCAGGCCAGTACCCCGAGTTCATGCGAATCAATCCAAAGGTGAGTCCCGGGCAAACCTCGGTACTTGGTCACTGCGGAAAGAAATGCCGGCGATGAACGCCAACTTACGGCGGAGGGGCTTTAGTGCGTTGTCAGTAGAAGACAATCTCGTCTGAACAATTTGAAAGCCGCAATGGTGGGGTATCGTATCTGTTTCCACCTGGGATGGATACCGTTGCACTACGTTGAAGGTAGTTCTGCCTTTTCTCCCAAGATGTTCACCTAATAATCGCCGTTGATGGAATAAGGAATCGTCGCCATCGCGGGCATGGGAACGTTATTGTTTATTTGGGATGCAACTGAATCCACACCTTTGAGAGCTAGCATAAGGTCTATGGCATCGCAGGAAATTAATGAAAGTAAAAAACTTCCGTACCCAACACCTTTTTCGGAGGAGAGGGGACTTCACTGCTGATTTTGGTTCAGTATGTTTGGATTAGAGCTCATCGGCCATCACTAAACGTTTCAGGGCGGTGGGATGAAGGTGAGTGGAGAGAATGTTGGGACAAGACTGATTGCATCTAGAGCCATCCCAGGTACTTCCCTGCACAGGAAACCATCTTTGGCTAGGAGTGGAAGCTTCGGCGGCGCTCCCGTCAGGACGGAACTTACACCTCGTCCGATTCTTGCAGCTTGTTCCGGAAATCAGGGATGAAGGATAAAGCTCTGCGTTAAGAAAAAGGTCGGATGGCACCAAATTTTGGGGCAGACATTAAACTATACCTTATGAATTCTACTGAGCGTGACAGCCAGCCAGTATCGGGTCATATAGGTGGCAGTGCACAGACAGCGCATGGACACCCAGGCAGAGTGGCCGCTGCCGCGTCCTGGCCTCACTTCTGCCCACAGCTAAACGAGTTCGTGGCGGCCTCCATTATCGAGAAGCTGCGCCTGAAGGGGCTGGCGGCGCCACTGCACGACTACAGCGGCCGTCTCCTGCCCTCCTCTCTCCTGGCAGGTCGGTGCAGACCTCTCCTGCCCTCCGCTCTCTTGGCAGGTCGATGCAGACCTCATCTGCCCTCCGCTCTCCAGGCAGATCGGTGCAGACCTCTCCTGCCATCCTCTCTCCTGACGGATCGGGGCAGACCCCTCCTGCCATCCACTCTCCTGGCAGGTCGGTGCAGATCTCTCCTGACCTCTAACGGCGACACCGCGAACCAGGACGCCGCGCGATCGACGCAAACGGGAATGCCGCGAACAGCGCGCTAATCTCGCGGCGCTGCTCTTGCTGCTCGGCACCAGTGAGGCGCAAATGCCGCCGTCGAAGGCAAACCGGGCTTTCAGGTGGATTTAGCCCGCGGAAGCAGCACGGGTGCGGTCATGTGGCAAGTTTTGGCACCGACCACCTAGAGGCCGTGCGGAGGCTGTCACCAGCATATTCACCACGGCCAATATCGGGAACCAAAGGATGTACGGGAAAAGTTCACCAGAAGTAACTCAGCTGTGCTTCTGGCTTCACGTGATAATCATGCATCATAAAGCTTTTCTAACGCTTTACTGCTGAGGTGACGCCCAGAACCCAAATACAAATGTTACGCATGTTTATCGTAAGGTGCCTGGTCGTCCCTGCCCACAAGGATGCACCGCCACGCAGCATGTCTTGCAGCCCACAGTTGCCGCATGTTCAATATTGCACAGACCTGACTGACGACCTGCCTGACCAAAATAACACTGCTGCTTTCAAGACTTCAATGTCCCAACGACCTGACTGACCAAAAATAGCGTCCCGGCAGAGATGGTGCTGAAGCCCAAGAAGAAGCGAGTGACGGACCGTTACTACTTCGGCTACGTGCCGCCGCCCAACCGCCAGCGGGTCAGCACGGCCTTCCGCCGCTACCTGCAGCAGTTCCTGGAGAGGCACAAGGCCGCCGAGAGCGACTTCTGCTATCTCCATGTAAGTTCGACTGGTCTTCGCAGACGTCCGTCAGAAGCGATGCTTCTCGCTCCCCTTGCTCACCAATCTCCAGTACATTTCGTACTTCACGTCGACAACGCGACTCCCGAGTCTGATCGAAAGTTCGTTGAGTGGGACGCCTTGACAATGTCTAATGGCCTTCGAGAACGCCCCCTGAGATCTTTTGTTTGCTGGGTCAGGATAAGAGGCGTATTGACCAGCACTGATCCTTTCAACACTATGGGATAAAGGAGAGTGGAAAGAGGTGGGAGAAGACTGCTTGCAACTGGGTGTCGTCCGCCACCAAGACATGCCCAGCACAGGACATGTCGTGGTGGTGGACGAAACCTTCTTTGGGCCGTGTGTGGGCGCTCGGGCAGGGTTCCCAACAAGAGCATTACAGCTCCTTCATGACTGATGTTACAGCTTACCCCGGATAAACGGGACGTCGCGGGGATGTGGACGAAGCAGTGAGCGGGCAAATGGCAGAAGGCCTCTGTTTTACCCCATCCCTCGGGCTAGCTGCCATAGTTCCATGCAAGACAGTCAGCAGGGAACAAGTTCGGGCATTCAGGTTTCGCCGGCACAGTTCTGCGAGGGACCGGGTTTGAAATTGGAGGATGGGTTGTACAGTCAGAAGCATCGTCAAAACGTGTTAGTAAAGAGAGTGCCAATAACCTAGAAATTATTAAAACATTATAGCCTTAAGCATCGATGTTATCGTGTCACTGCACCGTCGACCAAGTAATTTTACGTATATGCCAGCAGCAATCCAGATTGCTTGAGAGCTTCATGTTAGGGAACCCTGCCTGTTGAAGCCGACGATTTATAATAGTAAGGCATACCTCCGTTCAGTAAAACCCTTTTCAGGGACCCTGACCATTTTTAAACATCCATAGTCCATACCTGTCCGGGCAGAGTATCTCCCGTCCCCGCACACAGAAAACAAGCGAATGAAAGTTGGCAGCCAGTTCCACGCCCCTTCCAGGCACCGCGCCGACATGACGGGCCTCAGGTGCAGTGTGTGACGCGATGCGGCGCCGACATGACGGGCCTCCCGTGCGGTGTGTAACGCTGCGCCGACATGACGGGCCTCCGGTGCGGTGTGCGACGCGCGCGGCGCCAACATGACGGGCCTCCTGTGCGGTGTGCGATGCAACGCGACATGACGGGCCTCAGGTGCAGTGTGACACGGAGCTGCGCCGACATGGCGGGGCTCCGGTGCAGTGTGTGACGCGACGCGGCGCCGACACGACGGGCCTCCGGTGCGGTGTGTGACGCGCCGCGGTGCCGACAGGCGCTGGAGAAGGTACGGCGGATCTCCGAGATGAGCGACAACGACACCCCGCTGCCCAACAGCCTGGCAGAGGTGGTCCGTGCCCAGGAGGAGCCCGGCTTCGGCATGCGCCAGCTGCGCCGGCCCCAATCGGCCGTGTGAGCCAGTGACGCCACTACGGACACGAGCCAGCGACATCAATGGGGGCACCGATCAGCGTGGCCGTAATGCTCAAGGACACACGAGGAACTGCACAGGTATCTCACTGCAACAAGTTGGAATCCCTCCAGGCTACGTAAATTGAAAAAAGTGAATGGTATTACACCGACAAGCGACCGCCTGCGCTTTTGAAAACGATATCGATACATAAGTGATAACGATAAACATCTACCGATGATGCGGACCCTCGGCAAGAATCTGCGCCGGGCCGGTTTCTCGGGCACGTGTGAATCCATGCCATGCGTGTTCAGTCAGATTCGCAGCGCCTTCTCCCGATCTGTATTTTGTGCCGTATCCACGTGACAATGCGGGGCGAAATCTGCCAAAGCCCCGGTAAGAAACGACTTTCGGCGCGCGGGCACCACTAACAGCGCTGGCATACATAGCAGGCGGCACGGAGCACCACGTGTGCAGGTGTCACGGCCAGCGGTGAACACACGTGACCGGTCACACCCCGGGGGACCCTCTTCCAGGTACGCAAGCGGGGTAGCCAGTCTACCACTCGGTCGCGCTGGAGAACAAAGCGTTCGGGGTTAAAATATAGAGCCGCCCGCGGGCGGGCCCTGATCTGAGCTGCCAGCAGGGGCCGGGTTTTGTCGGTCTCAGCGGGTGCTGCGGTCGTCAGTGAGGCCGCCAACTGTTTCACCAGTGGGACGGGCCCTGCTGGAACCGAGCACCTGCGGCACGCTCCCGCGTCCCCCACCGGCCAGGCAGCACTTGGTTACATACAAGAAGAGTAACACTACTCACCGTCAAGCACTCCGCGCCCGCTAAACAGCGACGGCATGATGCCGGCAGCATGTCACACGTTAGAGTAGCGCGAATCGGAAACTTAAGTCAAACTGCCACCACTTAAAAGCACCGAGCTTAGGCAGCGCTAGCCGCCCGCGCCTGTGTGGAGCAGGTTGCTGATAAAAGACCGGGAGGCGGCATTTGAGTGCCGCGCGCACCGGCGGAGCGTGTGTCCGTTTAGCAAGCCCCGCTCCGAGTGCTGCAGTCCGGCACCGCGCGGAAACCAATATAAAGCTCTCCAAAAGCCCCAACATCACTACATGAGAACCCATTAGCGGGCAAAAGGCCCGTCTCGGCCGTCAGCGTCAATCACCCGGGCTACGACTGGAATGACTATTCGCATCACATCACACCATGAGCCAATGAGGCAACGCACATTTACAATAACGACAACGAATAACAGAGGTAACAACTGAGCCGGCCGAAGTTACGAATCACGCCACTACCCAGGATAAACAAAGCGCGCGAAGCTGTGACACCCTCCGCCGGGGAGATGTTTGGCATGCGTGGAGCTCTACGCATTCGGATTCGTCCGTACAAACGCCGCGCTACAGAAGACTAATCAAATACGCACACTCCCTGATCATTGGTTGCGTAGAGTCCTCCTATCACTTGTGCACATAGTCCGGCCGCCCACGGTAGGCGCAGGCCGTGCCTCTTCGCACCGCTTCTATATAAAACGGCCACGCCATCTAGCGAGCGCACTCATGACTTGTGATTCGACGTCAGCCACACGAGGCCCTCAAAGAGTCCGTCGCCGGTGGTGGCGCAGGCCGGTTGCACGTACCAGTTGCGGTCGTTTATACGCGTCAGGCCGAGCTTCTCCTGAATTTCGTGCGGCTTCATTGCTGTAATAGAACAGAAAACGGAGTCAGTCGCACGGACAGACGAATCAGGTTCAGAAGGGGCAAGTCGCGGCTCGAAAACGAGGATTGACGGTCATCCGACGCGCTTCCCGCATTCACCAGGTCACCCTGGACCCTCGCAATATGACGTCCCACCCGGGACATGCCGCGGCGGTCAGCCATGAGCCGGCCTCTCGGCCGTGTTGGCGGGAGTGACCGAGCGAGCGCACGGACCCCAAACAAGAGCAGCTGCGCGGGTTGAGGCGCCTTAAATGAAGCCTCCCACCATGGCCACAGTCTTGCCTACTACTCACTTCTCCCCTTCACCCAATAACCATGAACGGTCATCATTGGCGGAAACCAAACCATCCAAACCAAACCAAACGACTGCGCTTCAGCGAGTCTTGTACGAAGATCAGCAGGGGATGCGTTAACTATTGCGCGTCTGGGAAACCAGAGGTACGGGGTTCGACTCCCCGCGGTGCCCGCCCTTCCTGCCAGGGTGAGAGGCAGGCGAAGCCATATAGCCTCAGCAGCTGAGTGCGTCGTAAAGCCCCAATGACACACAAGATCAGCGGGGAGGAGCCAGCTTAGCACGGGGAGGGGTGGCGGGCTGATACATCAGCGGAAAGGATGACGGTTTCGCAGAGGCTGGCAGCTCACCTGGGAGGATTGACAGGCCAGTGAGGACATTACGGTCGGCAGGTTACCAGCGGAGTCGAAACTGGGAGGAGGTCAATGAACAGGGAGATCACGTGACTCGGCGTCGCCCACAATGGTGTTTTCCAATATTAATGATGATAGGAGACTTTACAGTAAGTGGTCTTCCGACATATCAGGAGGTAATAGTGAACATTAAGATACTTAAGAGCCACTGCTCAGCCAGGAGGACAGAGGGCTCAATGGGGAGGAAGGGCGGCCCAGCAATGACGTAACAGTGGCGGGGAGAGGCTGACGAACAGGGGGGGGGGGGGACAACATGGTCTAGGAGGGAGGAGAACAGACGGGAGCAGCGACAACAGTGGCGGCAAAACAAGACTGAGACACACCAACAGTGACAAAGGACTTCCTGCATCAGCAATAGACAATTAATTGCATCGAATAACAAGCACACTGACGATTACCGGCAGCTGCTAAAAGAGACGACGCCGACAAGGCAGGGCAGTGGTTCTTAGAATCAGCGCCTGCGATGGCGCTACGCATAAGCAGACCCCCCCCCCCCCCCCCCCCCAATACAAATATTGCATACCACTCCAAAAAGCTAAATCAGATGGACCAGACCGCCACGTGGCATACAAAACGCCCTGCCCGGGGCTGCCCAGTGCACGCCCCTGCCCAGCCTCTCAACGCGCGCCCCCTACCCGGCCGCGCAGCTCGCCCCCTGTCCAGCTGTCTGGCGCACGCCCCCACGCACCCTCCCAGCGCCGCGGCCTCTAACCGGCCACACAGCGCGTCCCCTGCCCGGCCGCCGCTCACCGTCTGGCAGGTCCTGTTTGTTGGCGAACACCAGGACGATGGCGTGTCGCATCTCTCTGTCGTTGATGATGCGGTGCAGCTCCTGACGCGCCTCATCAATGCGGTCGCGGTCGGCGCAGTCCACCACGAAGATGAGGCCGTGCGTGCCGGTGTAGTAGTGCCGCCAGAGCGGCCGGATCTTGTCCTGGCCGCCCACGTCCTGCCGACGGGCGGACCAGGTCAGCAGCGCCGGCCGCCAGGGCACGCGTTAGCCGCCTCACATCGCGGTCCCAGACACACCCGTGATGGACGTCCACACGCAGCTGGCAGTCACCGGTGATCTGGCCTGCCGTCCAAAGGCAAAACACCAGATGTTCAGTTTTGGCCATTTTGAGTGTTTGATGTCACTCGGTCTGTCTTCAAGCTGAATTCGGTTATTTAAACCATTAGCTGAAATTTTCACACACTGTTAGCCCTTTCTTCGGCTAAAAGCTTGTGAAAGTTTCAACCAATAATCAAAATAACCGAATTCTGTTCGAGAACATCAATCAAATGGCATGCAAAACAATAGACCAAAAATAAACATGTGGGGTTTTAACTCTTGATCGCGGCGGGGAACTGAGCCGGAAGTCCTCCGTGATCCAGAGATCGGAGTCGGCAGTTGAGCGACCGTAATCTGGCCAGGCTGTGCGAAAGAGTTGGTAATGTTTCTCCAGTACACAGCACCCGGATGAACTCACCTTGGGCGCCCGCAGCTCAACCGCCATACAGCAAAGGAACGTTAACATAAAACATCCTCATTTCCAGTACGCAGTGCCCATCGAAAGCCATCGAAAAACTTTTCGAAACCACCGAAAAGCCAGTCACAGACCATATCAATGAACAGATGCGCGTCTCACATGGCTCATGGTCGATAAACAAAGTCAGTGACTGTGACTGTCACTGTGACTTTAACAACAAAGTCAAGGTATTAGGCAATGAAGGGCAGCAGAATAGATGATAGCCGCATTCCACATACCCAAACGTTGAACTTGACGTTCTTGTATGACACCGTTTCCACGTTGAATCCCACCGTAGGTATTGTCGTAACCGACTGGCCCAATTTAAGCTTGTAAAGGATTGCTGAAAATGATTTGTCAAGGAGATCTTGGGGATTACAACGGACACATAGCCTCTGAGAGTGAGGAGCTGATGGAAGCAAGCAAACATCTAAGAACACAATGTGAAAATGCCCTCTTTAAAGCCGAGTGCACACAATAAACATGCCTCAAAGCATACTCTGTCCCCCACAGAAAATGATCTTCAAACAATAACAAAGCCCCACCATAGTTGTCAGAAGGCAAAACACCTCTTGTTTGAAAATGACCTCATTTGTCTTTGAGTACAATCTCAGGGCATGCCACTATGAGCAGAATACACTACTTGGTGAATTAAGCATGTGCACACCTTGGCGTGGGTTGGAACCAGGGCACAGAGGAAGATAAGCCACCTTGTTGCACCTCCCTACCACTCTAATGATTATGAATCATGCACATAAACTCATGCTACAAAGGATACTGGTTTTTCCAGAGGCATCCAGTCCAAGCATCAAAATTCGTATTTCCTTGTTGCCAAATATCTTGGAGAGAAATTTCCCCATCTTGAGACCATACACAGGTACCCTGAGCTTGCAGCCTGAAACAAGAAAGTACTGGTAAAGCAAAATACATTGTAGTTAACAACACATCAAAAACACAGTATTCGGCAGGACACAGCACATCTAATTGGTCAGCAAACTGTCAGACTCTGTGTAATTTAAATTCTTGGTTGTGCATTGCTAATACAACTAATGAGCCTCCAACAAATTTAATGATCTTTTACACCAGTAAGTGGTTTGCAGGTTCACAAAACATTTTCAGTTAAATTTGCTCAATAACATGAAAATATGATTCAAATGGAGCACGATTTGGCATAAAATACAATGAAAACTTAACCATCTTCAAATTCAATCTTTCTGTTTTCATGAATTTCTTAACAACAGGAGCTATCTAACCATACCACAATGACTGCAGACATGCTAAAAAATATCTTAATTCACTTGAGACTTGTCACCATATGAAACCTCTTGAAACCACAATGTCACAAGCAGGACATTACCAACATAAAGTTGCTGCAAAAAACATTATTAACTGCAAAATAACACCTTGCACGCAATATATCAAACTGCCTAATATCCTGAATTGTATCCTGAATTGGATTATGATCCATCTCCCATGGTACAATCTGGCATGCTCAGTGGCATAAAGCAGCTGATGATGCAACAAAGAATGCTGATGCCAGCTGGTAATAAGCTGTCACCAGTTACTGCATTCTGTGGTGGCATGAGAAAGTAAAGGTTACTCCTCCTAAACTACCAAACTATTAAATATTGCAGAGGACCACACAGAACCAGATGAGTTTGGTTGGGCCAGACTAGACTGAGCCAGGCTAGGTCATCTCTTAAGTCAGTCTTTTTAATAGGCTCATTGGCCAGCCATTGGTCAGGCTGGCCAATCCCAGCTCAGCCTTTTTGGTCTCACCTTAACATGATAAGCAATATCTTACTAGATAATAAACAGTAAAATGAAATCCACAGAGATGCCATGACAAAACACAACAGCCAGCATCAGCTTCCTGGCTACATTCAGCATAGCATGCTGCCATGCATGCCAGTTTCCAGTGTTGACAGTGAAGATCAGCCAGGTTGCAAAGGTGTCAGACCAGTTATCAAGATACTTCAGGCACGTCCAACTCTACCCCAAATGGGGCGGTCAATTTATCTGTTGGGGGCAGGAGCCCAGATAATCTGATGACCATGGGGTTCCCAAGATTGTCTCTACAATCTTATTCACAACTCCTGGCTTTTCATTACCCCTACTGATCAAGGTACCCAGAGTCAAATGATACTGAATTTATAATCCAACAATTTGCATTCCATCTTTACTTACAAAATTTTTAGCAATTAGAAATATATTGAACACCTTGAAATACAAACAGTAAATTCTAATGGCCTGAAAGAGGTACTTCACATTAACTGCTGAGCAGCATCATACAGATGTTTTCAACTGGTCTGCCTGTTGAGCACAAAAAGCAGAGATCACCACAAGAAAGATGCTTTGATCACATGACAAATTTTGGTCCAAGCACTTCAATTTAATTGGTACATCTCTGGCTAAAGGAATGCTGCTAAGGCTGTCACACCCAAGGCTGTACAAGATAATATGGGAGCAATGGACAACTGACAAATAAAACAAACATGGTATGCATTTTTCTGTTACACACATCATCTAATCCAGCCCAATACATGTGTCAAGGGATCATGTGCTTCCCAAGAATACGGTGAGCTACCCTAATTGAAGAATTGCTGCTCTAGGATACCCAAAATGTACTAAAAATATTAATTCTTGCTTCAATACCAACCCAACAAGATCTCATTGCAATCTGCCATGTTTTGTGGGCTGGTGCAGGCTGGGGTAGGGAACATGGGATGTTACAAGCCTCCAAGCCAGCCTGTGAGAACTCCATCCACAGTGCCGAATCCCTACTTTACATATGCCGAACCTGGATCATGCCCTCACAAAAGTAGCAGCTGAGCAGCTGACAAAGCAGCTGATGAGTGAATTGTGAATGCTATCATTGCACAATCATCACTTTCAAAATTTAGAGACAATGATATTGTGCAACAACATTTATTACATTTCCTCCACTGTATAAGCCTATATACATCTTCGTTCCAAATTGGCCTCATGGGTAAACATGCCTACTGTCATAAATGTCATGCTCTACAAAAATCGGAAGGTCTAAAATGAATCCATTATCTTTGCTCAGCCTGGTACATACTTTTCATTTACTACAATGTTCATATAAAAATAAACCATCTTCAGTAGGTCAAGCACCAGCCAGTCCATCACCCGGAGCCGACGATCCCGACATCTCAAGCCAGTGAAGTTAATGCGGTTTACCCTTGTCCCATCTCCAGTGCAAGCGACCACGAAGAGTACTCAAAGTAACTCTGAATTCATGCCTTATTACCTTTTCAACCTTCATACATAAAATACGGACCCGATCCCGCGCGGTCCGGACCAGACGCCCAAACCTGAATACAGCACGGGGCACGGCGCTGTAACAGGCCTAGCGTGCGATAAACCGCTGCGTGGCGCTTACGCCGCAACGCGGTGCATATGTCACGAACGGGCCGCTCCCATCAGCTGCTGACAAGTCAGCTGACTTCATGGGGCTACACTACGCACGAAGGAATGAGGCGCTGTCAACCTTGGATTTCGACATTACCCCGTCAAGAATGCACGTTGTTTGCATTGTGGTCGGCGCGGAAGGGTGGCCGTATCTTTCTCAGTTTAGAGAAAGCTTTACTCCCCTCGACTTTAAAGTAAAATGCGTGTTCTCCGTGGCTTATCTACTATTAACGCACCAACAGGATAATCAATTCGTCGACCCCCACACCACCATTGTCCTAGTCCGCCAAATATAACAACTGTCTCGCAACCATTTCTCACGTGACACGTGACACTTAACCTCATTACGGAAGCATGCATTCGAGTACCTAGACTGTTGCCGAAAAAGAAGGCAGCTTAAATGTGGTGTGACGTAACATTTTTTTTTTTTAAATGCCTCTACACCACAACCGTGTGCTGCAGCCGTCAGCCCACGTTAAGCAATGCCACGCCTGCATTGGTTTCTTCTCGTCACACATTCGTTGCTAGATGCAGGTTCGGCACCTGCCCATAATTGGCATGTGGGGCTCAGTCATGTATTTCGGTCACTTAATACCAGCAGGCGGCCACGACAGAATCACGCATCACACGTGGAGCGGCGAGACACGCCGAACGGCTGACTTAACACAACATACAGAAAATACCCTACAATTCAACTCTGACACCGATAGAGGAAATACTTATCAAACAGCTAAGATCTAGATGGTCGACAATGAGGAAACCCTCGAGGAAGCCTCGAGCAGGACTAGCACTAGCCGATAAACCGCGACCCACGAACGGCCCACTAACGGACCGTCACCGCGCAACCCACAGCAGAGACCGAGGCCCTCAGCCCAACCCGAGACGAGCCGTTTTATGACAAAAATCCCACGCGTCAAGAATACCCAGCTTCTTCTCACAGCAGCAATGACGAAGCGCTAAGGGACGGTCGCTGCACCGAGCCCGGGGCGAGGGGCTTGAGCAGCCAACAAGTAACAGACGCGCAGGATCCATCGATAACCGAACGCCGAGTGGCAGAAACGGGTCGGAAAGTCAGGCCAGGCGCCACGGCACGTATATCTAATTGTCTCGGGTGAACAGTGACGTCACGAACCAAACGTTTGTACTTCTCGCCTCCACGCAGAACGCAGGCACTCGCACACAGCACGTGCCCCCAGTCTCCGTCAAGGTCAGGGCGGCGCGGCGCCGCCCGCAGCGGCCGTGGCCCGCCGGACCCCGGTCAGGCACCGTTCCCAGCGGACGGGCGCGGTTGGTCCCGGCCGGCAGCCGCCGCGGACGGGCGCCAGCGACACTGACCTGATGAGACGTCAGTCCACCAGCGGTCACGGTTCTCGGTCAAACGTAGGCGGTCATCGATCATATCACACCTCTCCCCATCCACCCACCCACCCACCCACACTGAAATCACAGCTCTGCGGCAGAGCGCGCACCACTTCATCACGCATTTTCTGATCACACGGTTGGTCCAGACAGGCACCACGTCGCTCAGGTGCTCCCACGGCAGTCCGGTCTGTCAGCTCGTCGGCCATCTCGTCTGTCATTGAAAATGAGCGTCTGCCAAACCAGCGCTGTGGCTCGCGCCCCGGCCGGAGGTAATTAAACGTCAGTGGAAGAGGCCACCTCAGCCACGCTCGCGCCGTCACACGTCTCAGCAGTCCCACCCGCGAACAAGTCACACAGTCTGACGGCGTCCGCAGCACGCGAAAATCACCCGCAGCGGGTCCGCTCCACAGCCACACTCGTCCCTGTCCGCCAGTCGCGACCGCAGGCCACACGCAGGCTCTCGCACGTCTAGTGGAGGTAGAGGGAGAGAGAAATATAGAGAGACAAACACACAAACATTACGGCGCTGAGGACGGCCGGGCCGCGAGCGGCACAACACCGAGGAGGGAGGGCGGGGCTCGCCGACGCGTCGCGGCGCCGCCCAGCGTCCTGATCGACCGCGCACCGCACGGGATCTGGCGCGCGGCCCGCTCGCCCGCCGCACCACACGCGCGCGCCGGCGCCGGTCGGGCCGGCCGCCGGCTCGCTCAGTAGGCGAGCCGGGGCAGCTCGCGCATTGATGCGTCCCCCGTCGCCCTCCGAGACGAACCGCCTTGCGGCCCCTGCGAACATGAAGCGGCAGTGAGCGGCGCGCGGCTGGCGGCGCGTCAGGCCGGACACGCCAGGCAAGCGTTACTACAGCCGGGAGACAGCACGCCGTCAGGACGCCACCACAATCAGACACCGTAAGGGAGCACGCCCCGCCCCGGCGCGACCCCGCTCGTGACACGGCTACCAGCCGCGTCCAGACCCGGTCCTGGCCCTAGCCGGCTTCCACCGCGCTCCTCCGCTCTCCCCGTGCCACGCTCACTTGGTCGGCATGCGGCGCATGGTGTCAGCGCGAGATGATGCCTTCTGGAAGGCCAGGTGACGATGAGCTCCAGCAGGCGTAGGCGTCGGCAGTCCAGCTGTGTGTCCGGCATGGCGTCGTAGACGCGCAGAAGCCTGCGGTCGGCGACGGCGGCGTCAGCGATGGGAGGGGCGTACACGCGCAGGAGTTCCTGGACACGCCTCTTCCCAGCCACGGTGAGGGGAGCGGCGCGGGCTCGCCGGAAGCCATGTCACGGCCAGAAACGGCGCCAGGTCCCGCTGCCCAGAGCGGTTAAGGCCCAGGGAAAGGCATCGCTACCGAAGGGTGGCTCACGAACTGCTTTGCTGAGGAAAGGAGAACGCACGGATAGCAGTGCTCGCGAACACCGGATCAGCACACATTTCACAGCAAACGAAACTGGGAAATGTGTGAAACATCCCATGCAGGCACGTGCTTTTTACTGATAAAAATCAATATGCATCACATGTCTAGTGCTCAGTTTCTGAGCCTTGACTTGCTGATCATCATGACATCATTTAAGTCCGCGGCAGCGTGCGCTGATCACCAGTCACTGAGCTCTGCCGGTGAAGAGGCGGACCGTCGTATCTGCACCTCTGCACTATCACTATCTGCACCTGCACAGAGGACCCACCTCGTCCATCTGGTTGGTGGTGAGCACGCAAGCGCCGTACATGGTCTTGAGCAGGCGCACCATCTCCTGGATGGACCTGGTGTCGGAACGCTCAATGGCCATGGTGACCGCCTCGTACACCAGCTCGTGGTGGAAGTGCGGCACCTCCAGCTCCTTCAGACACCTGTCCCGGTCGACGGCGCAGCCACGGGGTGAGGCACGTCAAGCAAAAGCGCAGCGCACCCCGGCGTGGGCACCGCAGTGGGTTGGGCGCAGCGCCATCACGTGATCGCAGCGTCCACCACGCGTCTACGGCCAACACACCCGCACACGTCTTGACAACGCCGCGGCAGCCGGCTGCCCCGGCCACAGCGCCGGGGCCATGCCTGCCGCGAACCGAAACCGGCACCGCGCCGGCGAGCGGCCGCACTCACCGGATGGCCTCCTCCACGTCGCTGGAGCTGAGGAACTCCTTCAGCAGCAGGATCATCTGCTTGACCAGGTAGCGGACGGGGCGGCGCGGCCCGCCCGTGCCCCACACGTTGTCCAGGCGCACCATCCCGTGCTTGACGCTCATGAGCAGGTCGGCACGGTCCAGCGCCTTGCTGCAGCCAGATCAACATGACGCTGTTCATCAACACGGTCGACTGCGACGTTACAAGCGTCATAAACTATCACACTGGCTTTGAGGGCAGCTGACTTTATGAAATACCACATTCGTCCACAGTGTGTAGCGGATATGACAATAAAACGCGACAACAATGCGCTATCTCTGCCGGTCGCCAAACTATGACGCAGCGGAACAGCCCACAGCAAAACCGGTGGCATGCCACGCGGCAACGAGCAAGGACAGCCCAATTCAACCGCGGCCAGCCAAAGGGTTTCCATACGACTTTACCACCTGCTTTCCAAAACGTGAGTCAACACGGCAGACAACTCGTCATTATCGCAGCCACAACACGACCACTCAACCGGCCCGAACCGCTGACGTCACTCGGCGTCACTGTTGAGCGAACACGCGACGCCCGGCGGCCGGAGACAGCCCGGCCGCCGCCACTCACATGGCGTGCCGACACTCCACCCTGCCCTTGTGGCTGGACAGGTACTTGGGGCAGACAGTCGTCGGCCACGCAGCGGGCCATGAAGTTTCCCAGGATGTCGGACGCCTCCGGACAGTCCAGCACCAGGTCGGGCAGCGAGGCGAGCAGCGCGTCAAAGCCTGAGAGCGGCACCCGTCAGTGGAGAGGGGAAGATGAATGGGCGCCCGAGCGTCGCCGGAGCCGAGAGCAACGGCATCACAGCAGACGAACACACCGCTTTTACCGTGGTGTGCGCCAATATGACGTAATGACGCAACCAGTCACGGTATGGCAAAGCGTTTAATTTTATGACACATCTCATTAAAACAAACACCAATATGATATTCAGCATGTCTGCTGACGTTAAACATCTTACCCAATCCCTACTCAGGCAATGACGACAGTCTTGCACAGGAAAAGGAAACTCTGTCCCACGCATTGTGAGCCAATCTAAGATAATCTACCCAAAAGACAATAACCTGTGTAGATGTGCACGGGAATTGCATCACTTCACAACCTTTTGTTACCGGCATTGTTCGGCGTCCCAGCCAAAGGTTTGACTGTCAGGGTAACTACGGTTTAAAACATTTGTTTTGCGTTCAGCCGTTTTAAAGCGACTTGAACTGGTTCACGGCCGGGCAGCCCGCGGCTCTGGGCGGTGGCACGTCTTAAAGATTGCACCAACAAACGCCCTTACTGAGCCCAACGCAACGATACAAATAAAATCGGGGACGCGGAGAAAGCTGACAATTTCGCCGGACATTGATAGCTGATTGCTGGCCCCGATCGCACGAGAAACCTGTGCGAATCAATAAAGGTGTTCCTACTTTGAGAACATGCACACTGGCAATGCCGCTCAACAACTGAACCTCAACCACAATTTCTTAGAATTTAACGCACCATTAAGCTGAAGGTCAGTATTTCCTTGTACTGATGCCATCAGCTCGGATACTTTACTTTTAGGCGCGGGCATCGGGAGAGCCTCGGTAAGGCCCGAGGGCCCGCACCGCGATCGCGCAATCACGTACCGCGACAGATGTCGGTCTGTGTCAGACACTCCTGGTAGAGGTCCGACAGCAGCACAGGAGGTCATCTCGCGTGCGACGGCTTGTGGTCCATGGCCCCCTCCACCATGGCGAACCAAACCGTCGCAAGCGACGTCCATCAAAGGAATCCATCGCGCACGTCGCAGGCTGCAGCGGTCACGGCCACCGCGCATCGCACATAGACGCCGTCCCATGCACGCGGCATACGCGTAACTCACGCACACGCACCAGAGCTGCACTGACGACATCCTCTCCCTCTCTCCCTCTCTCCCTCTC